AACAATTTGTTTCAAAAATCTCTGAAATATCATTATTTTTAAAGGATTCTTTCTTTTTTTTTAACTAAAAATTTTTAAATTTTGTTTCATTTTATTTTCTGTAGAGTATGTTTCATAACTCGCCCTCCAGGAAAAAATATCAAGTAAAATAAGATACTAAAGTACCAGGCATATAATTTTTTTTTAAATTCTCTGTTTTATTCTAATTTTTTAACATTTTTTCTTCTTAACTTTTTCTTTTTTCTTTATAGGGCGCAAATTCTAAACCACATTGTATATTTAAGTCATTTTATTAATTTTAGGATAGAATAAAAAACTCAAGTAACTTGAATTTTTAATAATTAATTAAACAAATAGTCTAGACAAAGTGTATAATAATCAATAAATGTTTTGAGAGCCTAGCTCGTAATTTATGTTGTCGAAATTTGGTATTTTGCAATACCAGGTGTCTCATTAAAATTTTGTGCCCGACATTAAACCTCGAATCACCTGGTACAAAACGTTACAAGGCTATAATTTCCATCTCAGATCTCTAAAATCAGTTTGACTTGGGTCCGAGTTTGCATCGGTAAACTAGTAAAAATTTCCTTCTCTCGTCCCAATCATAAAAATTTCATCGTCTGAGCTTCAACTCAGGTACAAGAGCCCGTTTCTCAGCTAATGTGTTTTGGTGACGACAAGTAACGAGCTCCGACCGTAAATAATTTAAAAAGTCAAGTTTTAGTGTTTTAAAGTCAAAAGCGGCCCACTAAAAGTGGACGCCCTACGGCTCTGCTCCGACATTCTTTCTCTCCTCGGCGATTTTTTCTTTCTATAATGACATTGTTTTAATATTTTTTTGATTACTTGGAACTAAACTGTTTTTATTTTCAGTTGAAAGAAAAAGCGGTTGATTTCCTGGTATGTAGATTTCAATTATTTCTATAAATTGATGCCTGAACTCGTTTAAACTTGAGGAAATTAAACGATTTCAAGCACGAATTATCCCAAATTTCGTTTCAAAACACTCTCTTTTGATCAATAATAATAAACTCGTTCATTTACACCGCTATCGATACTAAAACGCAAAAATGCTTTGTCGGTCTGACCTCTCTGACTTATTTGCTTATTAAAAGACATCAAAGCGATTATTTTTACGGCTTTTCTCTTTTTATGCCTCCTTATTTTATAATAATTTCCGCGAGCGGTGCCATTAAAACGGACATTTTTCGATCGAGCTTTTCGGTAAAACTAATTCAATTATTAAAAGCTCGAGCTTTCAAAGACACAAATTGCTATATTTACACCTAAAAAACGAGGCGAGCTTTTCGGTCCGAGCTTTCACTCTTATTTCCCGAGAGCTTTCGGTGAATTGCGTAAATATTGTCATTTTCCTGCTGAGCTTTTTGGGAATCACTTAGAGGGCGCTGGTAAGGAATGCCGCAGGCGGCGGAAGTGAGGAAGAGCGGGATCGATGTCTCCACTTCCGGTGCGGTTGGCACCCCCTCTTAAGGGGGCGACTTTAAACCACCCCCAATTTTAATCGGCGAAGCCAGATCATTAACAAACCAGGTCGACCAACCTTTCAAAATAAAATTATCTCATGTACTTATTCTTAGGGCCGTTGTGGCGCCACCTGGCCACGCCTCCATGTCGCGTTCTCTGTCCCTCCTTCGCGGTTGAGGCTTTAGCCCTCTCTCTTGTATGTTTTATGTTTTTATATATATCTCGCACGGTTCATTAATGGTGAAGACGGGTTTCTCTCTCAGGTATCGGAGTTTTAATTATAATTTATCTTTATTTACTGCTTTCATCTTTGATGTTTGTTTATAATTTTTTTTTATTAATTCATTTAGAAGTAGGATTTATGGGGGTCTCCCCCGAAAAGTGATACAATGCGACTCAAAAAAATTTACCTATCGCTTGGGTGGCTATCTATCGGCGAGTCTTGGCACTAAAGACAGCAGTTTTACATTAAAGCCAGCCAAGTATCTCGTCGCTACCGTTGAGATAACAATCCAGTAGGCCATTCCGACGATTCTCTTCTGTCTGTGTATCAAATACCTGGATAAATAGCACGGCCTGCTGCTCCTTTTAACACAAAAACTCGTACATAGTCAATCAGAGTGATAAAATTGTACTTAACGGGTGTTGAAATGTTAAATAATATTCGAGTGTGACTTTGAAGAGGGAAAATGCTTCAGAAGGCTTAATGACGCTGTCAAAATCGTGATAACTAGATTCAATTAGCGACCCATCAAAAAGCTTTTATTTTTTAAGATGTGGAAGCATAATCCACTTAAAAAAACTTTTTTTTACACAGAATCTTAAAAAAAAATAGAACAGAGAAATTGGTTATCAATGTATCAAGCCACTAAAGTCATATTTTTCATTATGAATGTGTGTTTAGGCATAGCTGAGGCAAATATTTCATCTCTAAAAACACAGTTGCGACGTTGCCAGTGTGACGATTGCTACATTAATAATAATAATTGCTAACACTGTTATTAATGTTCGCAACCAACAATACACAAAATTGTAGTATAATGAACTACTTTAGTGCCGATTTTAGATTTTTTGCAGACAATTTTATGTAACTTTAGTATTGATTTGGAGAAACTCATTTTGACATCTACTCATTTTTAACGATGTCTAAAACAGTAGATTGTTAAAAATTCTACCATTTTCGAAATAACAGTGACAATAAGCGTTGTTTTTTGGCATTTTTTTTAGAAAAGTTTAAAAATGCATTTTGGGCTTTTGTTTCAGACCCGTAGCTAGTGGGGAGCCAAAAGAGGCTGAGCCTACTTTGGATATTCTGAGCCCTACTTTAAAACTTTGTCTTTTTTAACAACTTTCTTTAGAAATAATAACGTATAAAGTTACAATACAGACTGACTCAAAAAAAAAACGCACTAAATTCATATCTTTATGTCATTTTTCAAAAAAATTTCCAACAGGTTGATTTTATTTTTTTAAATGTTACATTTTGACACTAGTTGCCATTATGATGTTATTCGTTTTTAAGTTTTTATTTTTTTTAATTTTATTAAAATAAAGGTGGGCATATGTTGCAT